GCGCGTGGCATAACTCGTTGATACGTAACGGCCGCTCTGAATGCGATACCCACATTAGAACGTCCATGCCCAGCTTTGACCTGCTTCCCTGCTGCCCCTTCACTCGTGATAATGTTGCCGCGTATGCATTTCCCAGGCCTTCCCCTCTGGTCATCTCGTCTAGCTTTTTCCTTCTCTGATGTAGGGTAACCTCGCCCAGGATGGCATCAATGTTTAGAGAAACTAGAAGTAAACTTAAGATCGCTGTTAGTGAACAACCCACGCTCGTATTGGAAATGTGTTTGATTCTTGCTCACATTTCTGATATCTTCTCCGGAATGACTCTCATAATATCCGCCCGCAATTCGTCATCCATTGCATTAGGATCGGTGTCACGGTTCAGCTTCATTTCCAGATAACTCAAAATATCATTCTGGGCAGGTGTAACGGATATCCTAAGCGCCTTGCTAAAATATTTCGCCATCTCACCACCGATATGGGGCCTCGCAGTAAGGAATATTCGCACGTTTGGTGATACCCGAGCAATTTCTCGCAGCGCCTCGAGAAGTTCACGTCGGTCCCTCGGAACGGATTCGTCTAACGCGTCGATGCATATGAATACCCGTGGTATCGGCGCAATGGTCTCTCTTAGCATTTCGATCAGATCCGGGGGTCGGAGACCTCGGCTACCAAGCTTTTTTCTGGCCTTCTGAAATGCCTCCCGTATATGCCCCGGCATTTCCCCTCTGGTGGCAAGCTGCTTGAGGATAGCACCCAACATGCTTGCGGTGGACTGTTCCTGCTGGGCAAGGAAGTCACAGTAGAGTCCCAAGACAGCAACGTCTTTTCTTCCAGCATCCTCGTACAGTCTATCAATCACAAGGGAGCTATTATTTGCCGATAGTTAGTGAAATCTGCACTGCTCTCCCCAGGCAAGAGTCCTTCCAACCTGAGGTATGTTTTCCCCACCCCGGGATTACCGTAACAGAACAACACTTGCTCAGCGCAACCATCTTCAGCACCACTCCATTTTCTGAACTCATTGGTCTCTAGCACCCAGTTTCCCACGCTATCGAGTCGGTCGGTTTGCACACCTTGGTGCCGTTGCTGTGGTTCGAGTGGCGATAGCCACTGTAGGATTTGTTGTACCTCGGCGTCATCTGAGATATTGACAATATTGGTGTGGTTCAACACGTTGAAACAGTTGGTATTACCGGTGACCAGCTGGTGCCCTGACGACATCTGTATTATAGCCTATTATCCGAACTTCTTCTATTGCGAGGGATAGAGGAGGATTGTGTGCAATGAGGATCTGATTTCCGGGGGGGGTCCCTGGAACCTGGAGATAGGGGGTACTGATTTATAGTAAGGCTCTCGCGTTGCACAAGCTGAGGCTGGTCCAAGAGCTCGAATACGGTAATCGGCACTCGTGCTAGGACCCTGGACTTACCTTTACTGGCATGGTCTGGCATATTTTTGTCTTAAGCTGGGGCTTAGGGGGTTAGCTTTCCCAGTGTTTTCTTCTGGACGTCCTGGCGCGGGTGCCAATTGTTCGAGTTCTTACACTACGGTATGATACCGATTTATAAGGCTCTGGCGTTGCACAAGGAGAGGCTGGTCCAATCGTTATCCCTGTATGATACAGTAAGAACTCTGATAATTGGCACCAGTGCTAGAACTTTGGACTTGCCTTTACTGGAATGGTCTAGCACATTTTCGTCTTAAGCTGAGACTCAGGTGGTTAATTTTCGCAGCGACCCCGCCCTCCCCATCCGAGTGTGGGAATTTTGGACGTCCTAGCGCTACGGTAGTGCCAATTATTCATTCTTACAGTATGATAGGAATAAGAAAGCCGTCAGTTGATGCCTATTCAGTAATGGTCTCTGTTTGCAGATCGGCCTTTGATCTAAGACCGCGGAGCGAAAAGAGGCTATATATCTGGCATCAAATATTGGAGCAACAAATTTTGTTTATCAGCATTACACCCGGCGCTCCTGATATACAGTACTGTGTTCACGTTGAGCACAATATCCGTTTCTTACAATACTCGCACCGTCCAGTAGCACAACTACCGTATTACCCGAACAAAAATGTTAATACGCAGGCATTTTGACAAAGTTGGCATCCTGGGCCGAGCCCACACAGTTTAGTTTGTAACCTAGAGCGCTTGTACAGTACTCGAGTAGTGGACCACTGGTCGAATTCGGAACTTGTTCGTACCACCCCATTGGTCCAAATTAACCATCTGCCCAACTAATGCGCCGGCCAATGGTCTCTCCTCAACTGCCCCGGAGGATGCAGTTACCAGTACTTGCAGGTGGAACGAAAAGGAAAATCTCCGCTTTCTCCTATTGAAATTTCTCCCACCAAAGGTTATCAATGTATATATTTCAGCACTCCATAATAAATAAAATTTAACATTTTATATTGCACTACTCATATGAGAAGTTTTATACTGGTATTAACGTATGGTGCACCGAAACTCTATTCTATATGCCAAGCCAAATCCGGGAGGGAACAGTTAGGGAAGCTCGGTCAAGGTTCGGTGTGGTATATTACTGGTAGCTAACATTGGAGCCTCCGTTCAAACCCAGAGTGGAGTCCCAGGCCGGCCTGGCATCATGGGAACCCCCCCCCAAAAAAAGCCTACAGTATTCTCCCAATGCAACCTTGTAAAAGGGTGGATGGGAGTTATAAGGGAGATAGGCAACATTGCCATTGTGTCCCAGGGCCAAAAATCTGTGAGCCCTCAAGACAATGAAAGCCATGATATATTGTCCAGCCTAGCACGCTCGTGTGGAGGAGGGAGCGCGCTGCTGATGTGACCCTTGTTATAATACGTAGCTTATCAGCCAGCAGTTGGTTCCTGTAGGACAAAGTGCCCCGTGTAGTTAGCTTTGCCAATAGGCCCGTGATGTTGAAGTACGGTAGTGTAACACCAGTAACGTGGAGTCAACATCAACCTTCAGAACAAAGGAACTAGAACCACAAGTTTTGTCTTTCCTCCCCCTTTCTTTTGTTTCGTTCAATCCCCGGTATTGTTTTAAGCACATGCTAGCAGGAAAAAAAATTCCCCCGGGCACGAACCGTCGCATCCGGGAACTATCCCATGGCAAATAAAAGCACCAGTGCTGGAATTAAGATAAAATTGCTCAAACGGGAAATTATTAAAGTAGACTTGTGCTCCGAACTAAGCTTTCGAGCATCTCATCCCATCTCATACTAATGAAGCCAATATTTATATTGTATTCGTGGTCGCGCTACAGTACTCGAGTGCCTGACAACATTGCTTGCACGTCGGGCAATCGTGCTCGCTTGCGTACTTGGCGGGTCCAGCGATTTTCGACTCGGACTGAAGACCTCATTAAGAGCAGAATAATGCCAATTTTGGCCGGTCCTTGCAATAGCGCCGAGGTGCTAGCCATGGTGTTCTATCCCATGGGGAGGGAGGGCGGGCCTAGTGCACTTATGGTGCTCTAAGTTCGGTGCGCTAGGTAGGATCGTGGGATTTTTTTGTGTCTTTTATGGCGTTGAACCCCACTCTGATATTTCTACGTAAGAAGGGGAAAAGTGGGGTCCGGAGAATTGGTGGAAAGGAGCCCGAACTAGAGCCAGAGAGGATCGCCTCTGGCATATAGAGAGGCATTCTGATCTCGCCTGAAATAGATAATGCGCCACTATATCCTAAAACGAGATATTACATCTGCCTTTTCCCTCCTGGAAAGGTTTTCATTTGGCTAAGTAGGTCCCGGGACAGCTGATGTGGGGAAGGACGCACCTCTGGAGACGTGCACGAGTGAAGAAAAAGCGCGTGCATGATCAGGTAGAAACCCCCTTTCCCCCCATCTACAAACTGCTATGATGTAATTTACAATACCTACTGCTCCGGGCGGGGCCCGCTGCTTATGTCGACGATAATTATAGTCGGAGGGAAAATGCGCGATGCACTAGGTGAAGGTGCGCCGCAGGGATTGGCGGAGGATAGTTTCTTATGCACGATTCACAGGGTTTGGTCTATTTTTCACTCCTTCTGCCCCCGGCCCCCTTTTTCCACTCGCCCCATCACCGGCCGTGGGGTAAGCCTTCTCTGCTCGAAAGTCGTTGCAGGATCTTTTCCATATGTATCGGAAGCTCAACGGAAGGAGTACCTTAAGAACGGGAAACCTCGTTAGGAATTCGCTCTAAAAGTTAACTCACAGTCATACCCGCAATACCCGGGGCAGTGGCAGAGGTCCCGCGGTGGGGTGGTGGAGGGGCGTTCTTCCTGTGTATTTGCTATCGCACAGCGGGGTCTGTATACAGGACAGAGGCCAGTTGGCCACGTCTTTGGGGTCTCAAGCCTTTGCCATTTTTCGATTATGGGATGATGAATTACGGATTTCCGTCCACGTCCACCATCTATTCGTTTTACGAACGGGGGCTGAAATCTCTCTTGTTATGGGGTTTTCATGCCATACCTTGGGGTGCCCGCCCTTGGTTTTTCTGTATTTGCTGGCAGATCTACCAACACCACAAAAAACACCTATCGGGCGCGTCACTCAAGTCGTCAACGCTAGTAGTGTCCGGTAAGTTTATTTCAGGTTATTGTCCCGGAGGCGACGTACTTAACCGTTGCGCAAGCAGTCTGAGGCAGGTGAATGGGCTTTTAGTACTCTATACTACCCAAGTACGTGGACATTCCCCATCAGACCACCTTCTTAACCCACTACAGATCCCTAGGCGCTCTAGAGGGAACGCCTATATCAAGTACGCACGTTCAGACCCGGGGAGAAAAGGGGAAACTGAGGGAGAAAGGAGGATACATAGCGCCAGGGTTGAGTAAGCGTTTTCTGCTTTTCTTTCTTCAGAGAGTTTGTCCCAAAAAGTGCCAGGTCCCGGTCAGGTTCAGACAGAATATTGTGCTTGGGACGGGACTTCAGTGTCCTCCTTGCAGCCATTCAATGCGTTCTGAGATACCACTCCACTCAAGAGGAGGTCTTCCCGGTATCACTGATAACTGTTCGTTTTGTCTAGATAATGACGACCACCGGAGAAATCATATCTGCCACAATCCCACAAAAGAACCCTGCACCGGAAAGGGGTCGATCAGCAGCCAGAATTATGGAATAACTCTACTAGCTAATTGTATATTCCATGTAAATCTGTTCTAATCCAATGGCTTTAATCCTCTCATCGCCTATGATATCCTGTTTGGCGAAATGCACCGTTCGATTCACTGGACCAGCGGGCCTGCAACGCCGAAGGAATACCATTTAAGGGCCTGTTTGGATACGACCATTCCGTTCTGTTTCCCCGTACAAACAACAGTTTCCTTCCGTCATGGAGACGCCAAGACAGCCATTCCTCCCGGTAAAATCATCACTGAACGGAACGGTCGACCCGCCTATGATACCGTTTCCGCCAAACAGGCCCTAAGCAGCTTAGGGTTTACATCTCAGGCTTCTGCTGAAAAACTAAAGCCATGGGAAATCTCCTTCGACACATCATACATAGACATATATTCTAGCCTCGCCTGGGACGGGGAACAGACCACTCCGCCCAAAAATGGAACATTACACATGCAAAGCGAACCGATTATTGGAGTACGGCCGCATCTTGACGCTGTTCTGATGCTCGTACGGCATCTGGAGTTTTGTGGAGTTGCACGGATTCATCCCATAACCTTGCACCTGTGCTACGGTATACCGGTACCCGAATACGGATGTTGAGATTAGCCTGCATTGGTGGCTAGCCGGTGTAAGCTAAACACCACCCTAAGTTAGAGGACATTGTCACCGCCTAATGCCTCAGGGATGCTCGACCGAACGGATGGAGAGGAACTTCGACTCGCTGACGCAACCCGATTTTTATATCCTATGAAACGTATAAGTGTCGGGGTTTCTTATTCCGCCCTCTAACTTAGCTATCAATACCATCACAGCCCATCACTCGTCTCCCAAACATCCACTCCAACCCCCACAATCACAACCTTCGCACCACCAACTGTCTCCGCGGCAGAAATATCCGCAATAGCGCTCTCCCGCTGTTCCCGCATCCCAACCGTGATTCCGTCTTCTCCCTCACTCACATTCCAAAACTTAACTTGCTGGTCAACCCCCGCTGTGAGTACGTGCCTACCAACACACAGCACAGCCGTAACTGCGCTGGCATGCGCCCTTGGCACAATCCATGATTCCGCAACGCTGTTTTTAATATCGATACGAGTAACGCCGAATGCGCAATCATCGCCGCCTGTGTAAACGTATACACCGTTCGCTCTGGCAGCAACTCTCATGGCTTTGATTGAGCTTTGGTGAACGCGCTTCTCTATTGTCTTTGGTGGGAGCGGGAGCGGGAGTGGGAGTGGGAGGGATGCGAGGGAAAGTGGATCTGAAAGTGGATAGATACGCAGATACCCGTCTGTTCCGGCAACTAGGATCCCATCATTGCTGGGGAGAAACTTGATGTGTAAGATGCAGCAGGTCCTGTATGTGCCTTTCATCACTAGGCTAAAGACTCCGGTGGATGGGGAGAAGTAGTAGAAGCGGATGGTAGAATCTGAGTAGCCGACCACAAGCAACACCCCGCCTTCCTCCCCTTCTCCTCCTTCGACGGGCAATAAGTCGAACCCTTCAACTCGAAGATCGCTCCAACCTTCGCATGTGCCTTCGAGAACAATCTCGTTGGCGGAGCGGACTCGCCAGGCAAGCAGCTCACCTGCGCCTCCGGCGGAGAATAAGTACCGCCCGCTGGGAGTGAATTGCAGTGCGTGGATGCCGGTTGTGTGCGTTCCGACAACCGCACCTGGACATAGTTGCCCGGAGTGGGGGGAAAGCGTTGATAGGTGGAGGAGTGTGTCTTCCGCGCCGGTGGCGATGAGATCGCCGTGTGTTGCTATGGACTTGACCTCTCGGCCGTGGAGGCCTGATTGAAGAAGTTTGCGGCATGGGTGGGTGCGCGCGAGATGAGCCTTTCCATTGTAGTTGGGTCATGTAAGCATCTTAGCATGAATTGGGGAGGGGAAGAGTACCTTCCCGGCTTTTGTCCAGACAAAGTACCTGTTCAATCTGTGTGCCCAAGACCTATGCGCTCCGCCGCAAGCCACCGAGTGCACTTCGTGCTGGGACGCTTGGTTTATTATCGTGAAGTTCTTTCCGCGGAAACCCCAGAGGGTTAGATTGTCCGATTGTCTGGCGCCTTCGATGACGAGAGGAGACTTTTGGCTGTGGGTTTTTGTGAGGTGGATGTGTGGGGGTGGGGATATGGATAGGTGGGAGTATTCGCCATTGCGGGAGGTGGTTAAAATCCCTGGTCCCAGCGGGAGGATGGTGGTTATGGCGTCAGTTGGGTGAATGAGGGAGTGGGAAAACGCCCGCAGAGGACGAGCTGTAGAAGATAAGTCGTAGATCCCCAATGACCCTGCTCGGGAGCCGAGGAATAGGCGGTTTGTCTCTTGATTAATCGCGAGACTAGTTACTAGGAATTTAGTTTCCCCCACCCGAGCAGGTGACTGCAATGGTAAAGTTTCTCTGTCGATCAGTACTGGTGGCGACTTCGAGTGATCCATTCTGAAAGAGTGGAGAGAAAAGATTGTTGGCGATAGAGCTGTCGTCAGAATGTAGTAATTTTGTCCGCCTACGTTATTTCAATGGCGCCAAGATGGATTGAATTAGGTACAGAGTCAAGAAAATTGGAAGCCCGTATAGATTAGACACACCTCCTATACCAGCTCTTTCGAGGAATACTCCTGCAACCTTGCCATTCTCACCAGCCATTGACTGCCACCACCATTCCCGCCCCGATACCGTGTCTAAAACCCCAACCAGGCCATTGTGGGCTCCCAGGGCTATCAAACCCGAGCCTCCCCAGGATGCCAAAATGCTCCAACCGCTCAGTCCTGCCCACTGACCAAGTATGCTCCACTTCTTCTGACTGAGTGTGTAGGTTAAAACTCTGCCTAGTGTAGTTGTTGCAGCAAAGCGGTCATTGTCAAGAGCTGCGTATTCTTTAAACGCATCATGTGCCTTTTTATCTCTGTGATTAGGCTCGCCAGGCTCCTCTCGAGAAACCCCAATCTGCGCTAGCACAGTATCCATCCCCCATGCCTCCTCTCTGCTCTCTTGGTCGTCCCGATAATGTACCAGCCCGATCTTCCCATCCGCACCACCAGTGGCTAATAGCCCTCTTTCAAAGTCTAGTGCAAAGCTCCAAATATGTTTGCCGGAATGCAATCGGTAGGTAGCTACATTTTTTAGTTCTGTATCTCTAGCATATTTTCGTTCCGAGTCAAACGTCCAAAACCTCGAAGTCAGGTCTTCCGAGATCGAAAGTAATTCGACCCAGCCTTCCTTGGTTGCCGGGAGAAAGCGGACACCCCAAATACGCGCACTGTGACCCCAGCCTACGGAAACGCACCCACCTCCCTGCACTAACTCATGCCCAAATCCTGTCTTTTTTATATCCATATCACCTGATATAGGGGGCGAGGATTCGAATTGGGATATATCCCATATTCTAATAGTCCTGTCGTCACTGCAGGAAGCTAGGTAATACTTGCCACCATGGTATTTGGGTGAGATGTTAACACCAAAGATAGAGCCTTCGTGGCCGAGAAGCCTATAGTGGGTCTTAGGATTTTTTAGGCCACGAATACCCGGTGATGATGATGATGGGATTATTGCAGCCGACCACAGTAAAATCTCGCCAAAAACAGTGCCCGCTGCAACTAGAACTCGGTCCTCGGAGCTGAGGGCATCGGCTGCAATAAAGAGAAGGTGAGCGGAATATAGCATACAGCGCTCTCCAGAAGCTAGCTCGTACCAATTTGTCGAAGTGTTATCGTATTTAAGCAACACATTGTGGGCAGTAACGACAACCACTTCTTCGTTTGAAGCCGAAGTTGTGGAAGGAACGAACACAGCATAGAAAATCCAGTCTGGTGCGCGGATTTCCCTCAAGACACATTCCTCTTGAGGTAGAGAAGTCACTGTAGCAATGCATAAACTCCTTCCCCCCCAAAACAAGACATTCTGTTGATCGGATGACGAGAGTGTGATTCCATGGATTCGTTCTCGGGAAAATATTCGTCGTTTAAGGATAGCCCTTGAGGTGGCGGTGTCAAAGATCTTGACGAATGGTCCCTCACCAACAAGTAGTTTCGATTCGGGGACCAAACTTGGAATGTCTCGAGCAGTTTGGAACGCGAGGGCGGTCACAGGTGACAGGTTAGAGATGTGCTTGAACAGTCAGCAGACTTTTTCAACGAGGTTTCATGGGGAGGGGCCTGTAGATACCCGTAAAAATGGGGGAGATGACATTGGCGGAATGAGGTGGAAAGTGCTTACAACACACCAAGCACCTTAGATTGGGCGGGAACGGGGGTAATTGGTCCGGCGGGGCTCTTGGAGGATCGAGTCTCACTGTGCAGGAAAATTCCATATAGCATGGCACTTTACAGTACGGTAGCTCGTTACTGGTTCCTCCTCTCAGACGTGTCGAGCCCTGAGCCTCAACGCGTCGTACCTACCCCTACAACCCTCGTGAGATGTGCGTTAGCTCTAACTTTTGCTCGAAATCATGCTCAACCTTCGCTATTGAATCTCGGGAAATATCTATCTCCTTCTCTTATATATTCTTCGTGTCCTCAGATATCCTTACGGTCTTTCGGATTCTACGTCACAAATGTAAGTGTTCCCCTCTCCCGGAATACGCGCTTAATTGCGCTTTCCCTAGCATTTCTGTCACCCCACCTCTGAAAATATCTTTTTCAACTGCAATAGATGAGCTCTCTCCAGGGGAGGCTCTGGTCTGCACAGGATCCTCAAGCTTCCCGCTGGTCATCCTCCCGACCTTGGCCTGTTACTTTGCCGGGGCAAGAGGAAGAGCGCCGTTCATCTGCCCCATTATCCCATGAAGTCCCAAGCGCTCGTGATGAAACCTTTGCTGAAATGTCTGACACCCCTAGAGAACGGAAACAGAATCCCTTAGGAGTTCTAGGAAATCCCAATACCGCCCTACCTATACGCCCAATGGCTACCAACATCGAACAGTGGAACGCTCGTCGCAAAAAGCTCGACCAGGAGCTCGATGCTAAATCTGCGCCGTGCAGATTGGTTCTTCAAAAACACTTATTGCAAATGAAGAAGACGCATGCTTACATAGTGAGGAGTAGTCTCACCGCAGCTCGATTAGACATCAACGCCCGGGGTTTTTACGATGGCACCCCAGGAAGTGGCACTCCCGGAATTTCCTACGATGAGGTGTCTCCGTTTACAGATATGGGCAGTATTGATATTACAGCTACTGAGGCGAAGGAACGGAGGATTGATGTGGGGAGGCTTTATATTCGACATCACAGCAAGCCTCACGCATTATCTGAACACCGACTGGTGTTGCCAGCCCAAGTGGCAGAGACACCAAAAAATTTGGAAAAGGTTCCAAAATATCACTCGTATACTACTCTCAGGAATAACATACTTTCAGACGATGATGAAATCATGAGATACTATCCGTATCTGGGGGATGAGGCTGGTGACGACGAGATCAATCAGCTTAGTGCGGAAGAGACCTTTATTGACAGAACTAGAGCAACGGCAGAAGAAGGGAAAAAGGATGAGTGTATGACTACCCCAGATAGACTGATAGCTTTCTACTAATTTTATCATAGGTGCCGCAATGTACACGACTTTTATACATGACTTTCTACAAGATTTAGAACTCAGCTTTGATGCAATTGCCGGATACCTTGTTGGTGATATAACAGGGATCAATAGCGGTATCAGCAAGCCTCGCAGCGAAGCCATCCGCACACAAGCTTTACCCAACGATTTCGATCGCGAGGATTCAAAAATAAAGGCCTTGCGGGAACGACTAGGGACGGTCACCATGGAGGAACTGGAAAAGGCTGAGTCTGTCTGTAGAATATTTAAACAACAGACAAAGATCTCCATGTGGGACGTTGTTAAGCGGGTCGCACCAGTGGTTAGGGACTGCCTTTCTTCAACGAGAGTGACAAATGGTGCAGGCGGAGCTTTTGCGAAAGATACGGATGACGGGGGCAAAGAAAGAGAAATTGCAGCCCAGACCGGAGGAAATCCGATCCCATATAGTCTCGAGAGTTACGCAACCTTGAATTGCCTTCTTTGCTACATGCATGAGTGCCGATTTCATCGTAAGTCAATTCCACAAACCACAAAACCCCTATGGCTCCTCATTCATCTCTATTAATCATATTTTTCTTTTGTTCAAAATAGTCAGCAAAGACCATGACCGGTTAGCGATGTCTGGTGGGGACGATGATGATGATGTTGATGTAACTAAACCAACTAAAAAAGGCGACGTTATTCCATTAAAAGTAGCCACTAGCGTCCCTGGATGGGCCAGTATGAGTAAGGGAGCAACGGTCGATCCTTGGGGCGGCAAAGACGAGGAGTGCTCAATTGGTTGCTTTATAAAGGTAAATTTGGTGTTTCTTTAAACTTCCCGGGTTAACACCATTTACCAGGACAAGGATAAAATGAAAGACTTTTCAAATCCTTGGTCGACGGCACAAATTGCACTATTAAAGTCTTCAGCGGCGGTACTTAAGAACAACCCCCGCTGCGCCTGTCTGTTGGCATCGATAATAAACAAGCCGTGTGTCGAAGTAAGCTTACCCCTTCTTGTCAAATGCTCGTGAAGCCAATATTCAGTGGTACAGATTTATAGCCAGTTACTGGTAGAGAAATTGCTCCCAGATTCGGATGATGCCGCAGCAGCATCACTCGAGGATGTGCCAAATTCGGAGCCTAAACAGGGCACCAAGAGGAAGAAGTTTCCGGTATCAGCTTTGCCGGGCTATCCCCCAGATTGCGATCGCACCCACACCCACGAACGACGGACTACCTTCCAAGCATGTAGGCACCTTGGCCAATGCACAAATACCTGCCCCTGCGTGAAATCGCATGTTACGTGCGAGAAGTCTTGTATCTGCTCACCATCTTGCCCTCGTCGCTGGCGAGGTTGTACCTGTAAACGTGAGGGCAAGGCATGTACTTTGGAGAACAAATGCATATGTGCCAAAGCCAATAGAGAGTGTGATGTGGACCTTTGTCAGACTTGTGGCGCAGCAGAAGTCCTTGACCCGAAGAATAGATACGATGACGCTTTCTCAAACAATTGCTGCCAAAATGTAGCGTTACAGAAAGATATGCCAAAACGGACTCTCCTGGGAAGGAGTGCGGTCGCTGGGTTTGGGCTATTTGTTGGGGAAGATGTGAAAGGGGGCGTTTTCTTGGGAGAGTATAAAGGAGAAGTTATAACGACCGAGGAAGCAGACAGAAGGGGCAAGCTCTATGACAGGAGAGGTGTTAGCTTCCTGTTTAACCTTAACAGTAGTATGTTAATCCTCCCTTCCATCTCTCAGTTATGATTCGGAACTAATGGGAATGGACCTCAGATCAAGTTATTGATGCTACTAGGGCTGGAAATAAGTTCCGCTATGTCAACCATTCCGCAAAGAAACCAAACTGCTATGCGAGGGTATTTATGGCAAACTGCACGCATAGAATCGGCATGTTTGCCAGAAGGGATCTCATAGCTGGAGAGGAACTATTTTTCGATTACGGGTGAGGCCATATTCTCCCCTACCACAACATCTCTCTTCTGGATCCGGGCGTCGAATTGTCTAATTGTTGAACCGGGCTAACATTGTGCCTTTCTGGAATCATTAGCTACAACAACAAACAAGTGAAATTTGTTCACAAAGAGCCGCCAGAAATCCCCGGCCTAAATACTACCAGCGGTGACAAACCGAGCAGACCCAAAAAGGCAACCCGAGTACCAAGACCGGTGAGCCATAAATTCGACTACCTCAAGGGCGGAAAAGGGACCACAGAGCGCTCAAGAGCAATAAGAACAAACAGCGCACCGATCGCCCCGACAGCCGGCCCAGCAGATCCCAAACCGCCTACTCCTTCTCTAGGGCTTGCAGCCCCGGCTGGTGTTTCCGGGAACCGTCCTGCTAACACTAGAGCGCTTACCACCCTGGCGGCACCTACCCGACCACCACTACAGGGCAGCCGGAAGCCCCAGGCGAAAGGGAGCGCCGCGCAAGCCGAAGATGTAAATGGAAATTCGGTACTAAGCCGGAGATCGGGTTCAGCTAAGAGCCCTATACTCCTCAACTCTAGTGGTGGGGAGCAAAGCAGTGGCGAAGAGGAGAGCTCATCTGATGGTCTGGACTCTCTTTCTGACCTGGAGGAGAGTGACGACGACGAGCCACCCCCAAGGCGGGATAGAAAGCGCCGGGCGAATCCAAGGAAGAGACGTAGGAGGCGCTGACCTTGGAAACGGTATGATTTTCAGGTGCTGTGGCGATGGATTCTATGATACCAGCATGATCGTTTCCCTTATCTTTTGGGCATTGGGGGCGCTGCAAGTTGAGGGTTGGAGTTTGCTTTACAATTTCCGGAGTTAATCGCTGTCCATAAATATCGCAATATTTCCACTTTTTTCGCATCTTATCCGGTAAATATTTGTTCCATTCAGTCACAAGTAGCTTACCTGGCCAAAGGGATATCCTAGCGACCAAGCATAGCGCCGCACGCAGGCGCTAAACTAATGTTGAGCTTCTTTTAGTATCAGACGGTGGACTAACATCAATGGACTAACATCAAATAAAACATTACCGCAACTTGGCCACGCCAGCGGCTTACTTTACAGGCAGGATCATAGATCATAGAGGGTGCATCGTGAGACTCGAATTAGTCGCCAGCTGTGCCTTCCGATAAGACAGCCTCATAATCACCTCACTATAGCATATTTACAAAGATCAATTTTAGTTAGTACCATACTGGAAAACGCCCGTTTGTGTAAAGTACCACGCAGGGCTATAATGAATCATGATTGCAGCGGCACACTTTTATCCCGATTTTTATTTGCAGTAGTAGGGGTGGATGTCCTGGAAGATTAAAGGAAACAAAGGAAGATAGTTGCCGGTAGGCCAGTGGATGATGCCGGCGCAGTAATCGTTTGAATCCTATATCTTAAGTGTGTGATACAATGTCTTTGAAGTAGCTGTCACAAGAAAGGGCTTTTAGAGAACGGCCCTACCTAACCTCTAAAGAGCAAAAACAGAATCCTCACATTGGTAAGCTAGCAGCGATTGAACTGGGACATTGTTGTGATGTATAGAAGCCAAGATTGCGGGGCACCTGTTCTAGTAACCCAAAGTGACAGCTACTCCATACAAAACCATTTGCAATTGAAAAACGCGATGTGTAATTATTGCTGTTTTCATGGCTTGTCGAATGCCGGCAGGACCTTAATTCTGTATTCTCATTTTAGGATTCCCCAGCTTGCTAACTGTCGCGCGTTGCCTTTGCCTACATTCCATGTTCCTTACTAGCGGTCCCGCAAGCGAACAGATACTACAATAGTAATAGTGAGGTGTCATGGGACACCCGTAAGTTATATCCAGCAGGTTCTCGCACTACATTTCCTGAGAACTCCAAGTTGTATCCATTGCCCCCTGGGATGTCTTTTCATGCCTCACGAGAGGATACTGTACCCCGAGTAGTTGAATAGAGGACGAAAACGCAACACTCTGCTCTGTGGGGGGGGGGATAGGTGGAATCTTTCTCGGTCGCTGGGGCATCCCGGTTGGAAAATACCTGCCTCGTGGGGAGTAGGTGCACGACCGGGGGGATGTCTGCTTAGCCGAATGAACTTCTTAGCAGGTGGGATGAAAGATGTATATCAAAACGGGGCAGTGTCCTG